TCCGATTTAATTTCTTCGATTTGAACATTTGGCTTCTACTGTAGTGAATGTTTTTGAACCATCTACATGACTACATCTGTAAATTCCTGTATAATATTAATTGTTCAATTTGCACAAATACATTATGTAATTTCTGTGAAAAAGAAACTGTGATTCAATACATCCGGAGAAATGTCCATTTCTTAATTTCAAAGCAATAACAAGTCATTAACAAGTCAGTATTCCACGGCCGATCGGAAGAAAGAAGGCAAAATCCATTGCCTCTGGTTCGGGAGGATCCGCCTCTGTTTCCGCTTCTCCCGGCGACGAAATCGGCCGGGCAATGGTTGAACAACTTCGGGCGTTCAATCTCCAGGAACAAGAGAGGTTGAAGCTAAAGGAGAAGGAGTTGAAGCTAAAGGAGCAGGAGACCGAGATGAAAGTCATGCAAACCGACCCCGGGACGTTGTCGGAGTTTGGACTAATGATCTATGAGCAAAGAATGAGAGAGATCAAGGAGAAATATAATTTACCTTAGTTTTTTTATTAATATATTTTTTTTAAATTATTGTCGCTTTTTTATTTAATTAATTTATTTTTTTATTATCCGTGTTTCAATTTAATTAAATAATAAATTAATTACATTTTATTAATTTAATTTTAGAAGATGTATATTTTAAAATGTAAAAAATGAAGGTTTGAAGCCCAGTTTGAAGCCCCGGGGCTTCAAATCCATTTCCAGTGAATTTTGCGTGTAAGTTAAAACTGACGTGACAGAGAGAGAAAGTTTGAAGCCCCAGTTTGAAGTCTCTGGGCTTCAAACGTATTACCAGTGCTCTTATAGACTACTCCATCCATTCACCTTTCTTTTTGGGTCGTATGAAATTTTTCTCTTGATTTTTATTTTTATTTTAGCTATAAAATACTCCGTATTAACGAATTTGTCAATTTATTCCCATTTTTTATCTACTAGATTTTGGGAGGAGGAACTAGGGTTCTGTATCATTCCTCTCGCACCAGACACTTTCCTAGACGAACACAGTGACGCATCTAAATCGCAGGTCCCTTTGGTTTCCATTTCAACCTTTTCGCCTATTCGTCTGGTATCTCTTCATTTTTCTTCTATTTTGGAAACCGATTTCAGCATTTGATTTAACCATCCGATTTAATTTCTTCGATTTGAACATTTGGCTTCTACTGTAGTG